TTCCCCCCCCCCCCCCCCCCCCCCCCCCCTTTTTTTTTGTTCCGCCCACCCTCATCTTCTCTTTCATCTTTCCCTTTCGCCATCCTGACCTTACAAGATGGAAAGTGAGCAGCACAATGGATGAGAAAACATTAAGAATCATAGTGTTAGAGGTCAAATCTCCGTGCCATGTCCTTCCCACTGATCTCGGTTCTAGTCAAATCGAGGCGGATTTCGAAATCTGGCCATCCGTTGTGGTCAAAAAGCTGTGTTTGCCACTAGATTTCACACATATTAAGCTCTTTAAGAATCTTATATACTCCTGTCATCTATCCAGTAGCCAACAAACAGACCACTTCGGATCCTATACTTCAAATGTCGTCACAACCACTTCAAGTCTTGCCTCATGACATATCCGCTAGCTTGAAACTGCGGGGGGCTCCGACAATCTCACGAGATAGACTCGTTAGAAGTACATACATACGTCCGGCTCCTCGGCTTCTGAGACTCCCTGAATCCCTAAGAAGCCCTCACAATGGGGAAGGTGATTTGCCCCCTGGGGCAGCAGTAGGTACCAGAGGGGAATCTGGAAGTCCCCCTACCCCCCTCGTGACATCTGTGTTGAGTTCCTACTCGCAATCTGGGCAGGGTGGGACATATGAGATGACACCCGCATCCCGCTTCGGGAAAGAGTCCAAGGAGCCCGTTAAGTCTGATGATCTGGACGCTGATAAGCAATCAACTAGCGAGATACACCTTCCCGAAAATCTTGTGACTCACACAAATTTCACTTTTACTTGGGATCCCAAGGACGAGGTGTTTCGTCTCACAGGTGTTCCATCCGGAACCTCTCCTAGCAGTTTATCCGAAGGAAGGAGAACATCGGCTTTTGATGGTAACTCGTACCGTAATGCGCATGCTCAAGCACCTCATAAGCATAGTAGTTATGGTCACATAACTTGGGTCCTACAGGGAGCATTATTCACTTTTGAGATATCTAACTGTCAAGAGTGTGAAGACCCAACTGCATTTCACTTATTTCCAATAAGCCCGGGATGTTTGCTGATAATTAGATGGTAATACAGAGGGGAAAAAGAGCATGCATCAATTCTACATGTCTCTATACTTATCACATTACACTCACACGCATAAAACCAGAGACGATCGAATAAAGTTCAGAGGATAAGTTGAACGGAGAAATATTCGACGGAAGGGGTAATTCTAACGGCGGTTCGGCCGTCCTGGCCCGATTCTATGGGCTAACACTCCCCCACGGGACAATGCACGACTCTGCAGTAGTCCCGGACGATTTATTGATGGCGACGGCGGGGTTTGTGATGATGTAGAAGGTAATAACGATGAGATATTGAGTGTTATGTGTGTGGTAGTAGTGGTAGGTGAAATCGTGAAATGAATTTCGGTGGGGCCCCCTGCGGGGCTCCGCTCTGACACGTGGTTACCACTCACTACTGACGACTGACTCTTCTCTATCATTCCTTTTACTTCATCACTTTTATCTCCAATTATCGGTATGTCCACCTTTCGTCTTTCTCCACTTTTATCACTCGTTTCTGACTGTCTGAACTTCCCTCTATCCTGTCTACTTCTTAAAGCTTCAGGTTTGCTAGTAGACTCCCGAGAATCGATGAATTTCCTTCGTGGTCCTGGCTGACGATATTTCGTAGAACCGCTACCCACTGAGAAACTTTTATTTTCATTAACAATTTCATTATGTCTTCGCCACTTCCCGGTGGTATCGATCCCTTGGTTCCTCTCCTGAGGCCTGGTGAGGCTCATGGTACGCTCATTAGTCACTTTATCATGAAAATTATCTCTGACCAGCTGAACTGTCGGATATCTCGGTCCGTACCTTGGAGGCGGCCTGTCGACAGATCCGTTTCCTCCGAAGGTTGCTTGTCTCTCTCTCGAACGCTGGTCAAGGTGCATCTGCACCTTTCTTCGACATTCTTTACGATCTCGAAAGGGCCTGTCAGCATGTGGAGAATTTGTTGGGATACCAGATCGATGACAATTAGTGTCATGTATCCTCCCATCTTTTCTCTCTCTTATCTTTTCCTTCTTTTCCTTATTTCTCTCTCTTAACTCTCTAATGACTCTAGGTTCTACCGGTGGCTTCTGACCTATCTTAGAATTACTCACATTCTTAGGTACACCTGAAAATTTTACATTTTGGCTCACGAGAACTTTTCCTTCGGTGGTACCTTCGGTGGGTTTCTCTGAAGTTCCTTCCACCCACACTTCTCTCTCTGGTACCGACTCTGTCTCTGGTACCACTTCGTTCTCTGTACCACCTGATAGATCTCCTAGGTCCTCGAAATCTGAATAATCGTAATCGATGATTTCATCATCATCTAATGTCACGTATACTGAACCAATGTTTTTCTTCTTCGGTGGTTCTACCCGTATCGCTGACATATTCACCGAATGTACTGGTCCACCTAAAGCCTTCGTGAGTACATCTGCTCTCTGAGAGACAGTGCTAACGTATTCTAGTTCAATAACTTTGTTACTGACTAGATCTCGAAGAGCATGATGTCGAATATCAATATGCTTTGTCCTCTGGTGAGTACCAGGTTTCCTCGCTAGTGATATCGATCCTTGGTTATCGCAGTTTAATGTAGTAGGATTTAGCTGATCGTAGCCTATCTCCCTCAGTAATCCTCTCAACCACTGAGCTTCCTTCGCTGCTTCAGCCATTGCGATGTACTCTGCTTCCACTGTCGACGACGATACCGTAGCTTGTCTTTTTGAACTCCATGTTATCGGTGAGTCGTTCATCATAAATATCCAACCAGTAGTTGATCGTCGTGTGTCTTTACATCCTGCCCAATCGGCATCAACCCATCCTGCTAGATCGCTAGCCTCGCCACCGAGACGAATACCATGTAAATGAGTGGACCGAAGGTAGGTAATTACCATTATCCCTTCCTCCCATACTTTCTTCGTCGGTTTGGTAAGGTACCTAGCAAGGTATGAGGCTGCATATGATATGTCAGGTCGAGTACATGTGGCTAACCACTGTAGACATCCTATCAACTCTTGAAATGGTCGAATTTCACTTTCCACCTCCAACATCGAAGGATTTTTCGCAGTAAGAGGTAACGGCGTTTTTCGGTCTCGATGTAAGTCGTTTTCTGGAAACTTCTGAACTATCTTATCGATGTACGCTGGTTGGTTTAACCATATCGTCTTTTCTTCTCTGTTCCTTGTTACCTTCATACCTAAGATAGTACTTATCTCCCCCAGGTCGGTTATTATCCATCTTTTACCTAGCCCATCGAAAATTTCCTTAGCTTCTTCCTTCGATTTCGTGGCTAATACCAGATCATCGACATAGGCCAGCAGTATTGCTGCTCCCTTTCCTTCGATTTTCCCTTCTGGTCTGTAGTAAAGACCCCAATCTGATTCGATTCTTGAAAAACCTAGGTGAGATAATCCTTCGCCGAGTTCTGTCCACCATGTCCTACCAGATTGCTTTAAACCGTAAAGAGACTTTATTAACTTCAAGGTATTACATCCAGGTTTTGGCTTTATCCCCTTGGGATACTTCATGTAAATTTCGACATCGAGTTTACCGTTTAAATACGCCCCTTCGACATCGGCCTGACGAATTTCAAGATCTTCGGTTGCTGCTATAGTCAAGAGTATTCGTAACGACCCCGATCTACCTACAGGTGCGAATGTCTCTTTGTAGTCGACACCTGGTATCTGTGAGAAACCTTGAGCTACTAGTCGTGACTTGTACTTTAGTAAGTTTCCCTCAGAATCTGTCTTCACTTTGAATACCCATTTACATCCAATGGCTTTTCGTCCCGGTGGAAGTACCGTCTCCACCCATGTATCCTTAGATTCTATGTTGGATATCTCTTTCTCCATGGATTCTAGCCACTTCTCACCATCTGGGCCGTTTACTGCTTCTTCAGGAGAGATAGGATCAATGAGAGAAGTATCACTTTCGATACCTGCGATAGAGGCGAGTGAGACTAACTTATTAGGCTCGCGACCGAAATCTAGGAACGAGTCTGTTAGGCCTGCAAAACGGTGGGGGGGTCGAATAATTCGTCCGTGACGTGTCGTCACGATCCCCTCTTCCCCATCATTTCTTCCTTCCTCATCATTTCTCTCATTTTCGACGATATCGTTCTCATAGACCCAATTTCCTCCCCAAATGCCCTGTCCACGTCGTCTTTCAGTAGGTTGTGGACCTGTATTAGGTGAGTTGTCTCTGTTGACATCATTTCCTTGTTCATTATCGATATTTTCCTGTTCGCCACTTTCTGAGCGGTCGTCAGGGAAAATTTCTTCGTTGACAACGGGGTTTAGGTCTACTTCGATGGCGTCGAGAGGGGTTTGGATGACATCGGGCGACTCTCTAGTGGCCATCATTCGTCCTGTCGAGCGACGAACGTCTCGTGAGTGTTCGATTCGTCCCGATCCGTCCATTCTAACGATCCAACCGCTCACACCCTCATCTTGACCTAGTATAATGGCTGACGAACCCCTAGGTATCGTGAAGTTTGACTTCAGCCTTATCTCCCTCGGTATCTGAACGAAACATCGTTCACCGAATCTCCATACGCTATCTAGACTCGTGTCTCTTCCTGTGAGTGATGTCCAACCTGATTTACCACTGACACCAATCGATGTTTTCATAATTATAATGGCGGCGTATCTGACAGCATAGGACCAATATTCGTTCGGTAGTCCTGAGTCAAACAACATCGTCGATACCATCCCCTTCAAGGTACGTATCATTCTTTCTGCCACCCCATTTAATTCGGGTGTGTATCTTGGTGTGATGTAGTGGTTGATCCCTGCTGACAGGTAGAATTCCCTCATATCGAGACTGTCGAATTCACCTCCCCCATCAGACCTAATCACCCTCACCCTTTCACCAAGTTGTTTCTCCAATTTTGAGATACACTGTCGAACGATATCAGACGCTTCGTTCTTCGTCGTTATTGGTATAGCGAATACAATTCGACTCGCCCTCTCCACACCAACGAAGAAATATCGTTCACCTTTTATCGCCGGACCGAACGGACCAGTAATATCGACATCCATTCCTACTCCTTCACCATCTCCTTTTAACATTGGTGCTTCTTTATTCTTCGGTAGACGTGTTATCTTGGCCTGCATACAGGCGGGACATTTATCAGTTGTAAAGGGATCGTTCTTGTAAGTGTCCCAGTCCTTCCTCAATAGTCCCTGTCTACCTAGATTCTTTAGTTTATCTACACCTATATGTCCGAGTCGCTGATGCTCAGATTCAAGTGGTGAAGTCGCCTTCGGTGTCGATATCACGATCATCGCCGCAGACATTGCTCTGCCGAACCGTACCGACCACAGTGAGTCATGTTTCCTCAAACCTAGTTTCTCTTTACCTTTACCTATCCATCCACCACCACTACTTAGATTCGCCTTCCATCCCCATGAGAGTAACTTCGAGAGGGAGAGAAGACTTATCTTTGCTGTGGGGACGTGATGTACATCTTTCAGTACCATTTTCTGTCCTGAATCTAGTTCGAGGTTAATGTCACCTGTTTCCCAAGCCGTCATTGACTTGCCAGATGCTAGTCCGAACACTCTCGGTTCAACTAGTCTTTTAATATTCGTCATTATCGACCTGTGAGGGTGAGTAGCACCACTATCCACTACCCAGGTGGGGATTACACGAGTGTGGCTTACGTCGTTAGACTCTGTAGCTAATCCCACCCACTCATTATCCTCAACCCACGGGTTTTCAATTTCTTCGGGCCATACGATGTTACTCGTGTACCCTTCGTCATCATCGAACCACGATTCTGTCGACATGGCCATCCCGGCCCATGCCTCGTGTTCACCATCCAATGACGAATACATCAAGGAGGTTTTGGAGTTATCCTTGGACTGGTTCTCATCCTTCGAGACCGTATGTCCTTTCTTATTATTCTTATTATTCCTCCATTTCTTTTTACCTCCATCCTTTACATCTGCGTTTTCTTTCCTGTTCGTATCCTCTCTTTTAGGTTTACGACAGTACTTCGCTAGATGTCCTATAGTGTCACAATTATAACACTTCCTAGTTTCTTTTCTGGGCTGACCATCAGAGATATTATCTCGGTTCACCCTCATTCCTTTATCCCTTTCGGCGAACATCGCGAATCCCTTTCTATTGGTCCTACCAACAGGGCGCGCTTTACGTCTCGCCGTTTCTGCGTTAAAGATCGACAATACTTTGTCCCATGTCCTTTCCTTTTCGGGTACCGACATTAGTTCTACGTGGATGATCCTGTATGCTGGTGCTAGGATGGTATTGAGGAATAAACCTGCTCGAGCCTGTGAGTCAAAGATCAATCCCACCAACTTCGCTTCAGCCATTGTCTTCGAGAAATCCTCTACATGCTTAGCCATTTCTTCGGCCGTCGCATCTTCCCTCAAGTCATAGCTAAACAATGCTTGACGGACATTCCTCTGATTCTCGTTCGTGGCTGTTACGTGCATTTTCAAGCAGTACTCCCACATTTCTTTAGCTGACATCTTCTCAGATAAATCAAGCATTACAGCTTCCGTCACTGTTCCCTTGATCATCCCTTGCGCTTTATTCTCCCTCGCTTGCCACTTTTCCCACTCTTTCGACTCTTCTCCAGTAATCCTTCTACCAACCGCTTGTCCTTCGACGGACGTGGTAGGAGGTACTGATCCCGCCCTCTCTGTTGCCGGCCTAACCCCTTCGCGACCAGGTTCGGTATCATTACCTGAGACGACATTCCATACATCGCCTATCTGTAGATACACCTCGATCGCCTTCCTCCACGAAGCATACGTCGATGGATCGTAGGATAACTTAGGGAGATTCTCAAACGAAATCTTAGTCGACACTGAGGACATTATGAGGGGAGAGTAGAAGTGGAACTTGCCTTTATTATACACAGTTGTAAGTGGACTTCCGACTGTTAATCTGTTTGCTGATAATTAGATGGTAATACAGAGGGGAAAAAGAGCATGCATCAATTCTACATGTCTCTATACTTATCACATTCCACTCACACGCATAAAACCAGAGACGATCGAATAAAGTTCAGAGGATAAGTTGAACGGAGAAATATTCGACGGAAGGGGTAATTATCTAACGGCGGTTCGGCCGTCTGGCCCGATTCTATCGGCTAACAGCAGTTAACCAAGTTCCAAGAGGAGCATCCTGGACAGGTGTGGGACTATGTTCAGAAAAGACCTGCCACCAGACCTAGCTCTGTGCCTGGAGGCAGCCGCACAGTCACAGTACCAAACAGTGATTCTTTCATGCCTCGGAACAGGTACAGAACCAAACATATTCAATCGAATGTAGAATGGATTGAGAGTGTGGACCAAACAGCAGAAGTGTTGTCACAGAGACTTAGCCTTCCTGAGGAAGTCAGGCAAGCTGTCAACAGCTTTCTTGCCGACCTGCACCATTTTCGTTCCCGCTTGGAACCATTGCAACTTCCTGACGACCCTCCAGGAGGACAAGTAGATAGCAGCATGGCACTGAATCTCACATCACAACCCTTACGCCACACCATAAAACTTCTCCTTGAATATAGTACTGTTGTAGTCCCAGGTATGACTCCTGAATCTGAACAAAGAATACGTGAAGTTGACGAGTCCGAGTGAGAGGTACACGTTCAGCACTCCAGCACCACCACAACAAATGGAGTATGTTGTGGAAGCGATTAAGATGAATCAATGACAAGAAGCAGAGATTAGATGCATGAATTGAGCCAGAGAGAAAACCCATGCCTGAGAATGATTATTACTCGCTTCATACCTTACACTAACCACGATCAGTTCATATTCCTCATATCTCACCTCCTTATTCTCACTTTTGAATGTTACTTTGTCCCTCCCTGTGTTTCACTCCTCAAGTTCACTATATCCCTCCCCGTGATACCCTTGTATTGCTCATGTTAAGCATTCACACTCTCAGCTATCTTATCCTCTTGTACATCAGACATTGAATTCACCTTTGTCAGTAGGATGACTAACAGTATCATTAAACTTGAGAGTTAAATCAATTAGTGGACCTCCCTCTGTGTTCTGAGCGGAACTTTCGTCAATTATTTGTATATTTGATATGGACTCACTATTATGCATTCCCATGCTAGAGACTTCAATTGGCCATGGGATGACAATCAGATAGAGATTAGGTCAGATGTGATACATACAGTATGTCGGTAGTGATTGGTAGAGCGGTAGTCGCAGGTATATGTATCTGGTTGCTCTCTGCTCTGTAGAAAGCAATGGAGGATAACCAGGGATAAGGTGATTTGGTAGTATGAGTTGCTTATCACAATGACGTGAATTTCAACATGGGCGGTGAAAGACATGATCCGCGCGACAACATGGTCCGAATCGTCGGGGAAATCACGTTGAAAGGCATGAAATCGAGGAAACGAGATTTCGGAGTCCGTACCACTTTCACAGCCTAGATCCGCACAGCCCCCTGCACAGCATCTTCTCCGGTGTATGACACTGCTTCCAAATGATGTCATTTCGTGATTCTCCTTCCCTTCATGTCTCATTTTCTGGTATCATTTTCCGCGCTTTCCCTCTGGTGAGCATACAGTACTCTCCGATTCGACCCAAGGTGCGTAAGGCTGATTCTTCCATTGTAACGGTACTGGAAACACGACGACTAGGTCGCAGGTTGGGTCGAACTCGATGGAGGTCTCGTGGAAATCTAGGGGCTCTGGTGCTAATGGATCGTGTCTCCTCTGCAATCGATGTAGCCAAAGAATGATATTGAAGAATCAGCAAAGTTGGTACTTTGCTGATTGTACTATATACTGTCTACAGGTATCCGTGTCCTCCTCTCAGTTCCTACTGCAAGCGTCTATGTACATACTCGGACAGGTGAAAAACCGCTTTTGAGCAAACCCAGTGGGGAAATCTCGAAAAGGGAAAACCCGTCCCTACCTACTGCAGCACTGCCTCCAACTCCCGCCGTTCTCCTTCCTAATCCGTCGAACTCGATGGAGTTCTCTCGATTCGTTGTTACTCCGTAACACCCATACACTCATAAATATCACCTATCAGCAGGAAAGATTGAAGAAATGAGTATACATCAGATGGATTGCTCTGAGACACCTTTGGTGCGCCCTGACGTCACACCCACGCTAGTGTGACGGTTGCCATGAAACACGTGCTGTTTGGTATGTGGACTTTGAGGCTGGCTTTCCCAGTGCCATGAGTGAGGATGAACACGCCAAGCTGGAAGAGTTACGGGCTCACTTCTCAGAGACGTTCAAGACAGAATGGGGTTTGGAAGACCCAGAAACAAGAGCTATCCAACAGCTCTTGGAAGTGAATCCGGTAAAGGATGCAGTTGTGACCCTCTACTCGTCTTCAGATTTCTGGACCTTGAAGGAGTTCCGTGAGTCATACCCTGGGAACCAGTGGGACTACGTTGAAAAGAAACCTAAAGACCCGGTGCCCTCTTCAAGCCATCATGCCGAGACCATCCCCGCGTCCCATACTCCAACAAGCCGCTGGAGTAGTAGGCAGGTTCCAAGTCATCACAGCACAATGCCCACAATGCTCCCAAGCCTTTATAAAACCATGGCCATGGAGAGTAATGCTGATGACTGGTCTGAAATGCTTCCTGTCAGGGCTTCGCTTGAATCTCTTCGATCCTTCGACCTGCCCCTTGCTTCAAGTGAGCAATCTCCGTATTCTAGATTGATCGAAGAATTCCTAAATTTACCCCTGGGGGCTAGAGCAGGAGGATTGGCCACTTTGTCAAGCTACATGGTAACCGCACCCACAAGGCAAGGAATCATAGACTCAACCACCCAGGAGAACCAAATTGAAACACTTGGTGCTGTTAGTACCAGTGATGAACCCCCCAATGATGGACCCATCAATGATAGTCCAGAAACAGGTACAAGCTCCTCAAATAACCCACATACTCAGGTGAAGGAGACTGAGGGACCTGAGGGACCTGAGGGACCTGAGTGACCGATGCTTCTACAACACCACCACATCACAGCAACAAATCCAGTATGAACAGGAGGAAATCAGGAATCACCATGGAATGACGAGATGAGATGCATGACTTGAGTTAGAGACTAGAGATGTGAGAGATCACACTTAGTTTGTCCATTGTACTACCTTGTCCTCTCACAATTCATAACCTTCGCCTGTTTTTCTGAGCAACTTTGATAAGTCCCCATCATGACTACTGTAATGTTATGAAGTATTATCTTCTTCCTAATCATTGTCAACCCTATGTTTTCTGCCCATTGCATGATTTTGTTAGGTGACGGATGGATAGAAGCATCACGGTCTCCGCCCCTCACGTAACAGTATTCAACTACATATTCTACAACTGTTGTTACTCTACATCATTGTGATCAATGATGTTCACTGAAAGAGAACAGACCCTGCGCCTAACTTGCTCCTCACTCCCTACTCCGTGCGTCACTTTCTTACATTAGATTTCTTCTTGTGTCGTCCTTCAACCCGTCCTCGGTCAATCTATTGTTCTCTCTCAACATCATGTCAAATACAGACGTACATACATGAGTACGTTTGAAGAGTTCATTGTCAATCCTACAATTGATTGTATGATTGTCAGACCAAACATTTATCTGCTGAACCAGTCAGAAGTTTAATATCACTCCAACCACAAAATAAATTCTCATCTTCCTTAGCATTCTTAGCTTTCACGAACCTTTGAATCGGTCATATCCATCATCTCAGTGGTACTTGTATGTAATGTTCAAAATTAGGAATGTCCCTATGAGACATCAGCTATTGGCATCTCCAACCAAGTTCAGCAACATCAATGTCTAAGTAGCCATCCTTTTACTTGAGTGATATTCATATAATACTTGTTACAGAAATGACAGTATTCATGACAATTTCAAGTGTCATGTGGTTTAACAAGACTGGCTGAAGATGTGATCCATGGAAGAACACGTTTTGATTTTAACTGTACATCTGCTAACTCCTGTACTCATGTATGACTACTGTAGGTAGCTGAAGCCATACTGCATAATGACCACTTGGAGGAACATCACAAAAGATACATACAGTTATTCTCCTTGTATTTGACCTCTTGGTCAGAACCAATGGGAGCATTTTCCATCACATGCAAGGTAAGATCTGATTGAGAAATCAGTCTGGCACCTTGCTTCAGCCCGCAACATTCCCCAAGAGGAAGGTGCGAGTGGCGAGATCAGTGGTTCTCGGTGAGGAATCGTTCTTAAGTGGGTCATGGTCATGACTCCATGACATTTCCAAGCATCAAGATTTTCAGGCGTGATACTTCAATGCTGCATGCTGCACATGTCTTCAATCCATCACACTAACCCTCCATGGCGCTTCCGAAGCGTCACAGATTCGGTCTGTCACGGAACACAGTGAGACAGAGGTGAGGTACGTCGTGACTGATAATATGCATGAAGGAAATATATACACAAATGTTACACACTCATACTTCAAAACTCACGCAAACATCGCAACATGTCATAATGTTCTTGACAAGCAATTAATGCACTATGTCCTCTGCTCGATTAGCGAATTCCACCGTAATAAAAGACTGTGCGCAGGGTTTTTGGATCGTTTCTTGTGTCGGTCACGGGTCACGAAGGGAGAAGAGGAAGAAACGACAATTGACCGCCTTGATTGACGGGAGCAAGTGAAATAAGAACCGAACAACTCACCCCATCCTCTTCCCTTGGTCTGTTTGACCACTTCGTCCGTCAGGTTTTTCTTTGAGAAATAACCTGATTGGATCTGAGAATCAGCATGGCTCTTCTACTCTTTAGACAAGTACACAACAACATGAAGAGAATGTACCATTGGCGATGCAATAGGAGACAAATTAGATCAGGGCACCGTCTTCATCGGATCTCGGGAATTACCAGCGCGACGGAAGATGGGAAGAGAAAGGGATTGCAATCATGGATCTGATGGAGAGAAGAGAAGGAAGGAGAAGAGAAGGAAGGAGAAGAGAAGGAAGGAGAAGAGAAGGAAAGGTCATGTCACGAAATGTGATCCATTGGAGAGGAGGTCGAGAAGATGAGATTGTGAGATATGGTGTAATGAAGAGGAGCAGAGAAAAGGATGATCCACCTTGGCATCAATCTCGACTCTACTGTCGGCAGGAATGAGTTCTTCGGGGATTTCGTAGCTGTCATTTAGCGATTTCCACCTCGTCTCTCTGGCTAATGGTCTCCCACGGCATGACATGGTCATCGATCGGTTCTGGTACGTCCGTTCACACAGAACATGCGTCAAATGAGTACTGTAATCGGGAGTGAGCACAGCGTGGGTGCGATGGCAAGGGCGGATCACGCCGAGGAAGTCTGTGAGTAGACACGGGAAATGAGAGAAGAGGACGAGTGACGGCACAGAAGGAGAGAGGAAAAGAAAGAGAGAGGGAAGGAAGGGGAGAGGAGGTAAACAAGAAAAGAGAGAGAAAGAGAAAGAATCGAACAGTGGTGAGTTTCAGAGAGAGATAGAGGAAGAGAGAGAGTTGGAAGGATAGGAAGACAGAAAGGAAACAGGGTGGAGGGAAAACATATTGATAGAAAAAAAAAAACCTGCTCACCGATTAACAACCTCTATCCCACTTCCGACAATAGCATCATATTTCAAATTACTCATGGAAATCAAATTATCAATCCTTTTTATACCTAAAAAATGTAAAACATCCGGCATCAAATCCTGATGTCTAGCATCTTTTACACCTGCCACACTGACGGTATTATCGAAATATTCAGAGGCATTATCACCACCTCTTTTCCTTCTGTTATAAACCATATATTTAACGACTTCACCTAAACTTCTACCTTCTTTATTGAAATAAGCAATGACACCTACACCACCTCTTTGAGCGCATTTTATAGCTTCAGAAATCCCGAAAATCAAATAAGGTCGACAAGTACAAATATCAGAACCGAAAACGTCTGAACCTGAACATGAATCATGTGGTCTACATGTAACTTCTGTTTCTGGGTTTGATAATTTTGATGGATCACCCATAATGTATATAGTTGTTCCTGCTATGGGTGGTAGGAATATTTTTATATCGGGTCTTGTTAAAAGTTCAGGATACATTCCACCTGTATCTTCGAATAAAGCTCTACGTAATGTTGATTCTTCTATTCCTAAACGTTCGGCGACTCCTGGTAGGTACCAGACTGGATCGATGGCGGCTTTGTAACAATTGATTTCGACTCCTTGGTCTACACCTGGGAAAGCGGCAAGTTCGGGAGATTTGATGACGATTTCTCCGTCTACTGAGAATTCTCCTTTGCGAGCGAGAGTGTCGAGTTCTTCTATTTTGATATGAGCTTTGGTTTGGGCGATGGTAGGACGGACGTCGAGACCCTCAGCGTATTCCTGCGAGTTTTAGCACAGATAAACGTCACATGATAGATATTGTGAATGGTACAATAACCTTATATACGACAGAGGCAGTGTGTAAAGTAGAAGAAGACGAGTCGATCGAGCCAAAAAAAAAGAAAAATCACCTTTGCCCACAGCTCTTGAGACATTGCCCCCCAAGGATCTAGGGTGACAATCTTCCACCCTTTCTTGTTGTGTTCCGGATCGAGAGAGGTGCCATCGCCAAACCACCCAGGTTGAGGAGGGAGGACGAATGGTGGCTAAAGTCAGATACTGATACATTCCCTTCACACTCAACGCAGATCCCCCTCACACTAGACGTTGCTCATCCTTCAGACTATAGCGGGAGTCTGACCGGACAGCAAGCAGCGGCTGTCCCAAGACCCCTGAGCTCATTGGAAACAGGGCATAGGAAGAATCCAACGACGTTCAAGGTGCAAGGTGAAAGCAGTGAAGAAACACCCACATGCGTGTTCGTCAAATCCGGCCTCCAATCAGGTCTCAACTGTCCCATGGCTATGCTCAACGATCGAAAG